TTTTGTTTCTTCTATGGTCACCTGCTACTCAGTAATGGCTACCTGTAGAAAATTTACCACTGAAGTCTGAAAACCCAAGAACAGACATCAAGAATTCAGAATACATTTGTACTGCAAGTTGAAAGACCTCTGAGCATTCTCTCTTATTGTGGAAAAGCTCATTCCTGCCAGCAGCAAAGAGCACAGTCCTTATAGAGAACACACAAGCCTTGGCTACTCAGCACCCACTCACCTAACCCAAGTCATGTGGCCATTCTTCATTGACAAAGAAGAAAACTATCCAGCAGAATCGTAGACCCTCAATGGAGTACCCAACAAGCAGTGGGGAGGCACACAACACTGTATGTCACTACTCTTTCTACCATGACACTGGCCCAGGAGGGCTATTAGCCCTGTCACATGATGCTAGTGAAGCCATGGAGCCCAGCAGTCACCTCCCAAGTAGACAGACGCAAAGTTTAAACCGAACATCAAAGTCAGTCAAAGCTCCACACTTCCCTAGCAGCCGCAGAGGAAGGACACCCAGGAACTCTGGAGTGCGATGCTGGTAGCCCTCAAGGACACCCTCAGTACAGAGCAGCACTGTCACTGTCATGAAGGAGCACACTGCTGTGACCCAGCAAGTCCTAAAGGAGGAACGCACCTACAAGCGCTGATACAGGCCACACTCTCAAGAGTGGCAGGCTGCATGGGTGAGGCCACCAATCAGCTGCTATGCCAGAAAGTTCCAAAAACTGACAGCATAATACCAGAGAGCTCTACGAGGTGTCTTACAAAATTACCTGCAAATCCCTGCAGGCAAAAACAAGATGCAAAACAGTAACATAGAGTTCTACCATTATGCTTGTTTTCCTGAGACAGGGTCCCTCTATGGAGCCCTGACTAGTCTGCACTCCCTGATCATGCTGGGCCTGAACTCAGATCTGCCTGCCTCTGTATCCAGAGTGCTTAGGACTAAAAGTGTGTACCACCACATCCAGATTCATCCACACTTTAAAGAGGGAGGGATGGTGCTTTGCTTGGAAGCACATGGCCCATCTCAGAAGGATACACAAGAAATGGTCAACCAAATGATGGGCAGGAGGCTGGAGCAGTGGCTCAGAGGTTCAGAGCACTGGCTGCTCTTGCCAAGGAATGGGTTCAGTTCCCAGCACCCACATGGTGGTTCTTAACCATCTGTAACACCAGTTCCAGAGGTCCACTGCCCCCTTCTGGCCTCTGCAGGCACTGCACATTCATAATCCACAATATATACCCTTCCACATAAAAATGTTAAAGATCTGACTTCTGAAGCAAAGGCTAAAATATAAATTAGACATTTTTCTTTGACTTTATTTGGCCTGACCACCAAATCAAGTCTGGGAATAAAGTCCCACGGGAGTCCAGCTGTGCAGAGCACTGGCTCTCTCAGGCCTTCCAGCATGGACCTCAGAGGACAGTCCTGCTCCCAAGCTCAGGAAGCTAATCTTTGTAAATGGCTCATTAACAGAGTTCAGTCACTTGACGGCCCAGTGTAGAGATATGCCAGAGACACTGACATGGTGAGTATCCATGACGACCATATGACAGGCTGGCTGGCTTGCTGAATTGAAAGAGGACGGACACTGAAACACTATTACTCAATGTTCATGCAGCTGTGGTGCCAATAAAACACCAGAGTGGTCAGCATATGGTACAAGGACACTGTCCAGTGACAGAAACAGCACCCTTGGATGCGCCTACAGACTACAGAGAGTTACGGCCCCAACTAAATCCCATCTCATATGAGTCTCAGCTATAGAGGCCAGAGGCACAGACACAAGTGCCAACCCCCCCCTCCCATGTATGCACCACTCCAGGCAGACGTGCTGCTAGGTAGCTCACAGCACCCTAATAAATGGCACAGTGGCTTGCATTGCCAAACTGAATGCACATGATCAAATCACAGTGCTCACAAGCAAACAGTCACTGAACCTCCATGGCATGGCTTAACCGACATGTACCAGGCAACTGTGGTTAACACCCAGTAGTTCCGAGGAAGAAGACACAGTGAAGATGAGGAGATGCTCCGTGAAACTAAAGCACAGGGCCGACAGGTCACTTGGTCCTTGTCTCCCTCCCCAGGTGGGTGGCATTCGTGTTGGAGAAACATCTCCATGCTAAGGAATGGGCATCTGTGGATTAGTGAGGCACTCACAGAACATTTGCATGACTGACTGACTGCTCCTGTCAAACTGTGAACTGAGGGGCTTAGCAACACTCTTGTGGTCAACACACCTCCATGCCTCACTTTAAAAGAGCAACAAGGGCTGGGCGTTTGTGGTGCACGCCTTTAATCCCAGCACTCGGGAGGCAGAGGCAGGTGGATCTCTGAGTTAGAGACCAGCCTGGTCTACAAGAGCTAGTTGTTTCAGGACAGCCTCCAAAGACACAGAGAAACCCTGTCTCAGAAAAAACAAAAAAACGAAACAAAACAAGCAAACAAAAAAGAGCATCAAAAACTAATGAGCAATTTGTAGAGCAGGGCATCTTTAAATTAACATCTTAATCAGCTGGTTGTTACAATCAATGCTTTCACTGGGTTGGAAATTCTATGACTAGAGGGAGTTAATGCATCTCTGTTAGTTAAGGAGCAAAACCTTTGAGCATAAAAGAGGAGCAAAGCTGAGAGTGAGGCTCAGTGACAGAGCCCATACTTATTAGCAAAGTAAAGCCCTAGGTACCTAAAGAGAGAGAACCGTTAAAAATACCAAGACTTCTAGCAACGAGTGTTAATATCGCCATCATCTGACTTCACTGAGAACATTAAAAACAAACAAGGTAACAAAACTGAAGGCAAAACAGACAAACTAAGTAGTCAAGTCCTTCCTCCGGGAACCAGAGCCTTTCCAGAGTGGAGAAGGAAACGAGAGAAGACGCCGGTGCTGCCTCCTTGCCCTTCCTGGGAAGTCACTCCAGTGTCCTCCCCGTGGGCCTCCCAGCTAGGAATGAGGGAGGGGCTGACCCAGCACAAACTGCTGCCTTCCAGAGAGGTCTTTGGTGCCACTGACGGGTCTCCTTATATGTGTAAGTAGAAGCCAAGATGCTTCAATTTTTTAGCACCACACTGCCCCAAACAGTGGCACCTATGAATTGTATTTGACTGCACAGCTCAAATATATGGGGCTGACAGCGGCTCTGACATGAACCAAGTACACTCTCAGCAGAGCCCAAGCTTATCAAAAGAGGAAACAGGCAGGGGCTGGGGGAACAGATACTCAGCAGCTAAGAGCACTGGCTGCTCTTGCAGAGGACCCAGGTTCAGTTCCCAGCTCCAATGACAACTCCAAATCACCTGTGTGTAACTCCAGTTCCAGGAGCTCCAAAGCCCTTTCTGACCTCTAAGGGCATACAGCATGCATGCGGTGCATAGAAATACATGGAGATAAATGACTCACACACATAAAATATAAAATAAATTAATCTAAAAAATGTTTAAGCCGGGCGTTGGTGGCGCACGCCTTTAATCCCAGCACTCGGGAGGCAGAGGCAGGTGGATCTTTGTGAGTTCGAGACCAGCCTGGTCTACAGAGTGAGTTCCAGGACAGCCTCCAAAGCCACAGAGAAACCCTGTCTCGAAAAACAAAAAAAAGAACAAAACAACAAAAAAAAATGTTTAAGAGAAAGAGGCAGAAGGAGGTCTAGGCAACTTGCTTGAGGTCACACTCAAGGGGTCATAGGGGACAGGGCTGGGAAGCTCATGTGTAGAGCCTGCCTCTCCAACTCAACACCACTGCTGTGTAGGAAAGGGAGTGCCTTCATTGGGAGAAAGAGCCCTTGGCTCAGGTGTTTGTTCCCAGGAAGACCCTGACTGCCAGGGGGGTTGAGAGCAGCAAACCATAAGGAACCTAAAGCCAAAGAAAACCCGTGAATCTCCCCGTATTCCCATCCAAAAGGGGAGAGTTCTATAAACCAGCTTTAAGACTGAGGACTTGGCCGGCAATCAGGATGCTAAAAACCTGCAGTGATAAAACACGGCCATCATCCAAGAGTTAACGAAAGACTCTCTTCCTGTCTGGCTCCCAAACATCAGCAGGCACTTTCATGCAGCTAATGACAACAGAAACTGTAATGTAAAATTTTCATTTTTTCCCCTAATTTTATTATATTACTATGCATATGTGCATGGGACACATGCCATGGTAGGTACATGGGTGGAGGTCGGAGGATAATTTTGTGGAGTTGGCTCTTCTCCTTCCAGGGATGGAACCTGAGTCATCAGGCTTGTATAGCAAGTATCTTTACTTGCTCAGCTGTCGCAATGGCTCTGCCTTAGAATGTGATTTAGCAATGACCACCTTACACAGTGATGCATATCCTAAAGACACACTGTACAAGGATCTCCTCGAGTTGCAGGTAGCATTCCCTGAGGCAGCCCAAACAGCGAGGGTGGCCAACGTATATGTACACCAGTGAGAACATTGGCTACACAGCCTATGAGCTCTAAACACATGCTGGAACTCTAGGGCAGAGCTGGGACATGAGATATGAAATGCTGTCTGAGGCACATTGCTGAGTAAATGTTACGCACAGAATAAGGCACATACCATGATCCCACGTCTGCAAAGACCTGCCCCTTGCCAACAGATGTGTCTAAGTATGCTAGACTCTTCTCCACTGACACCTGGAAACCACTAATAATCAACCGTGTGCAGCCAAGGAGCCACTCTTCATCTCATGTTCCATTTACTTGCTTGGAATTTTCTGCCATGCTAATGCATTGCCCTGACATGGTTGAAAACAAAAGAGCATCAAGAGTATTAACACACCACCAGGCATAGCGGTGCACACCACTACTCTGAGCACTTGGGAGGGGACGGGGCAGGAAGCTACATAATGAGTTCTAGGACAGTCTAGGATATGCGAGACCCTATTTCAAGTAACTAAACCAAACCAAACCAAGACGAGCTTAATTTTCCAGCTGCATTAAAAAATTAAATCCATGCTATTTCTTGCTAATGTACAAGTCACTGTTTCTGTACCTTGTTTCCTTCATACACCCAGCCCAGACTCTTCACTCCAAAGGCAACCTGGGTGGCTGAGACATCCAGACATGTGGCAGGCTGGCCGTAGACATAATGGAGGGTTCTGGCTGAGTCCTCGGCCTTCAGCAGGTACACCAGGTCCCCAGCTGTGGCTATTGCCACAGGGTACCTCCCAGTATTCGGGACTATTTCTAGGTAGTCAACCTGCAAAGAGAGGAGTTGTTTAGTCACCCACAGTCATCTGGACTTGGTCAAGAAAGGAATTTCCCCTATACATCAAGAGGGCAGAGGCCCAGCTCACAGAAGCAGTTGGGCACGGGGACCGTTTGTAGGGGATGAACATGGCTCCTGCCCAGATGAAAAGATGCCTGCGACAGCAGAAACACAATGCACTCCGAGAAGGAAGCCACAAAGGAAAGTCCATGGAGACACGGGTGGTTTTCACCTCACCATGAGGATCGGGAAGTCAGGTAACAGAGCTGGAGGTGAACAGGGGACATAATCCAGTCCAGCTCCTACTCAGGAATGACTGGCAATGCCTATCAGAGCCAAGATTGCTCTGACCCAGGAGGTCCCGCTAGCAGTGCTTACAGATCCCTGCACAGCCAAGAATTGTACATGGTGGCACTGCAGTGCCCGCCTGTCACTCTGCAGACATGACACCGCCACATAGCCAATGTCATACAACCACAAGAGAAACCCTGAAGGCTGCTTATGATTCAGTGGGATCACTATGGAGATGAACTGGGTTTGGGGGAGCAAGGGTATTCCCAGTGGTCTACCACCACAATTCTGACAGATGGGTGGAGCTTTAACGCACTTGGCTCAGGCATGGGTATGTCTGGTAGCAAAGGCTGTCTTCAAGGGTGGAAGCAGGCTGTGAGACGGAAAAGCATTTCCAGCTGTTAGTTTTACTGGGTCTTTTCAATCCTGAACATGGCAGTGTCTAGAGTTATCCTTATTTGTTTTGTTGTTTCACCAGAAAGTGAAAAAGTAAAACTCTCCCAGTTCCAAATGCAGAAAAACATTCTGAAAAACGTGTGTAGATACCACAAAGGCATCACCAGAGGAACTGTGTTCTTAGCTCTCTCCTCTCTGCCTGCCAGGCACTGATCACCCTGTGCTATGTTCCATCTGAGGACAGAGACCAGTACAGACAAAACACACTCTTGTTGCTGTCTTCTCCGACTGCACAGGGGGAAGATCACCCTTTAGAATGATCTGCTTATCCGCAGAGAAGTCTGCATCAGGCACACCTTAAAGTGTTGATGCCAAGGGTGAATCCACCGTGGAATTATGAAAATCCATGGTGTAAAGGACAGCATCACCCTGACAATCTGCCAGAGGCGCTCAAAAACCCTGAGTTCTGCCCTGGGGAGCTGAGCACAAGCAAACATCCGGTGCCTGTGCTAATCCTGGGCCCAAACTGCGCCGAGGCAGCCCAACATCTTGGGCTGCATGTCCATCACAAAGGCCAGCTGCTCCAAGCTAACACTGCAGACCTGGGAACGTTGCCACTGTTATTCAGGAAGCACAGCTAGGGAACAAAGATGGTTTGGCTCCATGGGCGGGGGTGCCTGATCCAGGGATGCTCAGTGCATACTGTGGCAACTTGGTACCCAGACGAAAATAATGCTCAGAGTTGACACATCCTCTCGCTAAAGAAAACTCATTTCTTAGTTTTTTAAAACAGACACTTTTTCGGCAGCCATGTAACTTCATCTTCCGGTTGGATTTCCAGCAGACCAAGAGGCCCAGACTGGCAGTGGCTGCCATTCACTGGGAGGTGTAAACGGCCTCAAAAGCTTTCAGTGGGCCCTGGGATGACACCTACTGCCAAGACAGGATTCACACTTCCTGGGGGTGATCAGCTTGCACAACCGAGCCCTGCACTCCCTGCACTCCACGTCTCTCTGTAGGCCCTGGGATGGGCTGACAGTGGCAGTCATGTTAGAGGAACCCCATATGAGAGCTGTGGAGCTGATCTGCAGCAGCAAGCAGCTCAGGGAGGCGAAACAGTGATGCCAGGTGCTTGCTATTCAAATCTAAGATTCCCACAGGGAAAGGGAGAGAGAAGCTGGTTCCAAGTCGCCATCAATCCTTGTTCAAGACCAGCTCTTCTGCTCCTCTGACTAATGCCAAAATGAAGTGTGCTCAAATTAAATCCAAATTCAGCACAGACAGATGGACACTGCCTTATCACCAAACCACCTCTGCTTGGTGAAGAAGATTCACATACAGCTGAACTTGTCAGAGCCCTGTGTGGAGCTCTGAGCTGGTTCAGCTTCACGAGCATCCCAGAGCCCGGCTCCCAACCCACACTGACCTCCATGGACTTCACTCAAAAGGTGTTCTCAATTCTAGAGGCAACACTGTGGGGTGAATGCTTCCTTCCACATGGACTACAATGTACCGCTGCTGTCCAGTTAGACGTCAGGCCAGAAATGAAGCTCAGGCTCCCAGGGTGAGTCTGCTATGCTAGAGAGAAGGAGGCTGGGATCATGGTAAGGACAAACTCCGGCACTGAACCAGTTCCATGTCTGCATGTGCTGCTGTGTTGTTTGGCTTTAGAAGTGGGGCTAAGGGTGGAGAGATGGTTCCGTGGCTAAGAGCAGTGCATATGTGCTGCTTCTTGCAAAGGGCCGGAATCATATGACCAGCTCACAACCACTTATAAGTACAGCGCCAGGAGACTATCCTCTCTGATCTCATGAGCACACACCCAAACACTTAATTAAAGAAGAAGAAGGAAGAAGGAAGGAGGAGATGAAGGAACAAGTAGCAGTAGCAGTAGTGTGTGTGTGTGTGTGTGTGTGTGTGTGTGTGTGTGTGTGTGTGTGTGTGTGTGTGTGTGTGTGTGTAGCTGGTGGGGCTGGTACCCTGGCCTCACGCACACTAAGTAAATGTTCCACCATTAAGCTATAGCCTCAGCCCCACACTTGGATGTGAGTCACAACTTCTCAGTTCAGAAACCAGGGGCAGGTCAATCAATCACTCTGAGCCATTCCTGACTTCTTAGAAATGAAGGAAATTCTATCACCCACTTCAGTGAGCTGTTGGGAGTTGCATAACAGAAGTCCCAGGCATCAATGCTATCTGTTTTATCAGACCCAAGGAGTCTCAGAATACAAGCAAGCAAACACACTAGAGCTCACCAGTTTCTGAACTTCAAATTCCGCAGCTACACGCCAGTACCCCTCCTCGTTAGGGTACAACATCACAACATCAAAAGCAGAAGCTGTGGCAACCGTTGCCTTTTCCCGGCTGAGCGCAAGGGCCTGTATTCTTGCATCATGCTCAAAACGATGGATAGGGAACTTCCCGGTCCTCAGGTCCCAGATGTTAAGAACCCCTAGGAGGAGCAATGCAGAAAGCAACTGTAAACCCAGTACACATAGGCACAGAATAAGCATGAAGTCATTGTTCAAATTTGCTACGTGGTGATGACATTTGTTTGAATCTGTTCCACTGCTTCCTGGCTGCAGGACTTGGGTTTGTCACTCCTCAACAGCCTCCTAATAATGGAGGCAGCAGTACCCACCACACAGGATTTGGGCAGGCCACGGGAGACCCTCCACAGACACTGCAGATGGTTTCCTCTAGGGCTCGTCCATAGAGCCAGCCCTAGCTCTCAACCTTCCCACCACGGGGCAGTGACATCAGTTACTCTCCGTCTCTGTGAGGTCCATTGTTTTCTTTCTTCCTGGAGCCACACTTTATCTCTGCACTGGAAATGCCTCGAATTCAGGCTCTTGCTCTAAAGAACCATCCTGCTCACAGATAGTAAGGTGTTGCAAGACTTCCAGATGGCCTGCAGCTGGTAGTCACAAACAGCGCCAGGGCCCTCCTCCAGGGAAAGGCTTAAACATGAGCTGCATGCACTTTTCTAAGAACTGTCTATGATCAAATGGAGGGTAGGCAGGTCACAAAAGACTCTGTGACATGGTCCCTGGCATATACTCTGGGAAATGTTCTCTTCTGCCTTAGAGGGAGATGTGCTACAGAAAATGCACAAGTGTCCCCTCCCTGCTAGAGGCCTCATCTTAATATGGCCTCTTGCAAATGCTTTTGTGAGTTTGTTCTGAGGCATCACACAGTGAGAAGTGCTGCACAGAGTCTCTGGGCACTCCATATCACAAGCCTCCTTTCACTGTTTACTACTCTCTAGTCAGGGAAGAGCAGATTCCCTTTCCACAGAGGCGGAACAGAGGAGGCTCCAAGTGGCTGGACCATCGATTCATGACCACTTGCTCTGTGAGACCGCTGAGCTGGGGTGGGACAACTGGGCTTGGTGAGGACTGGACACACCACCAAACGCATGCATGCCATGCTCTGCCTGGCATGGGAGCTGTTTGACACAGTGCACCCTGAACACATGTGAAGTGTATCTACAGACACGGTTTTCATTCTTAGGTGAGGGCTGATGTGGCTGGCATCCTTTTAACTGGATGCAGTAAACATGTAAACATGTAGTAAACACACCTCAGCACAAAGCTGAGTTCCAAGCTGCCTCAGACACTCAGGGATCCTCTATCATAATGGCCCCTCTCTCTGAGCACCTGCCATACTGTCAACATTAACAACCCCTCTTCAGTTGTATTTCTGTGTGTACAACTAGACTGGCCAACCCTTGTCAATGGAACCGGCATCACTGCAGTCCCCTAACACAAATTCTGATATGCAAGCATGTAGTGTTCTCGTGAATTAATTGTCTCTTTCTCACATATAATGTCCCTCTCTGTCCCTGGCTAGAGTCTCTGCATGAAGTTCACTTTGCCAATCACCCAGCATTCTGGCTTTGTTTCGATTCTTATTAAAACTAGCTTTCCCCATCTGTTTACCTTGCTTTGTGTTTTTACTTTAAAGTGGGATTAGGTCTGCAGAGATGGCTCAGGGGGCTGGAGAGATGGCTCAGAGGTTAAGAGCACTGGTTGTTCTTCCAGAGGTCCTGAGTTCAATTCCCAGCAACCACATGGTGGCTCACAGCCATCTACAGTGGAATCTGTACTCTCTTCTGGCATAAAGGCATATATGAAGATAGAGCACTCATACATAAAATAAATAAAATCTTAAAAAGAAAGAAAAAATAAAAAAATAAAGTGTGATTCTTGGAGGCAGATATGGTGACACACACCTGTAGCCTTGGCATCTGGAAGTATGAGGCAGCAGACTGACAGTTTGAGGTTAGCCTGGGTAACACAGCAAGTCCAGGATGAGCAATAACCTGTCTCTAAATACATACACACATAAAGTGAGTTTCTTGTAGATTGTGTGTGTGTGTGTGTGTGTGTGTGTGTATGTATGATCTTGTTTTTAAAATACGTTAAGACTACTTACATTTTAGATTTATTTTATTTTTAATTATGTAAGTGTATTTGTGTCTATGTATATGTGTATCACATGAGTGCAGGTGCCCATGAGGCCAGAGGCCTCAGATACCCTGAAGTTGGAGTTACAGGTGGTCATGACCTTCCCAGTGGATGTTTGGAAACACTCTGCAGAAACGGTAAGTGGTTTTAACCACGGAATCATCTCTTTGGCCCTACTACTTACTTACACTATTTTTATCTTTCCATGGATCTGGATTTTAATTATGTGTTTATTCCATCTTGATTTCTTTACTGGCCTACTAGCTGAAATTCTCCCTGGGATTATTGAGCAGCTGCTTTAGACCTTAAGATACATGCTTAGCTCACCATACATAGGCTAGCTTCAAGTGACGCTATTCTTCCACACCAAGTACAAGGACTTCACAGCTACACAGCCCTTTTCCCCTCCCGACCTCTGTACTACAGCCATCACACACTTTTGTTTTTACAGGAGCGGGTGGGCCAGCACCTTTTAGAGTGATGTGAGTAAGTAAGGCATCTACTTGTTTCCCCGTGTAATCACTAGCATCACTTTCAACAACATTAGACACCCAGAAGCTTTGGCTAGGACACAGGGTAGCAGCTGGGCAGCTCTGTGACAGAGCAGCTGCTCAGTGTGCGCAAGGTCCTCCTACTCCCTGCATCACTAAAGGAGGAGAGAGCTGAGGGGCGGGATGGACAGATACCAGACTGAACAGTTCCACCCAGTACTTCTCAACCTGAAAACTGCAGAAGCTTGAAAAGTGAATCCTTCTGCTACGAGAATGTCCCATGCTACAGCAAGGCGTTTGAAGAAAGAAGAGCCAATAAAGTCACACACTGAGCAAGGGCTTGCTGTGCTCTGTGCTGCATCAAGGGTCGAGTTAGGACAATATAAAACAGAAATCCATTACTGCATGGAGCGGAATTCTGGTGGCATCTACAAAGCATCTCATTTGCAGACCTCTGAAGATTTAACTGTCCACTTGATACAGCCTAGTCACTCAAGAAGTGAGTCCCAATTCAGGAATTGCATGATGGGGTAGCACCATTCCCTGGCAGGTGGTTCTGGGATGTGTATGAGTGAGCGAGCAAGCAACATCCTTCATGGTTTCTGCTTCAGCTCCTGCCCTACCCTTCTTCAGTGATGGACTGGGAAGTGTAACTCAAATAAACTTTTTCCTCTTCTCTAAGTTCTGGTCAGTGTTTTATCCCAGAAACAGAAAGGAAGCTATAAACTGTGTTCAGATCATAACACACACACACACACACACACACACACACACACACACACACACACACACACACACACGTCCTCACCCCCCCACCCCCCACCCCCCACCCCAGACAAGGAGCAGTTGACCTTTCTGGGCACTGAGTTGAGTTAGTCCATGTTCACACATGACTATTAAGGGAGATGTCAGAACTAAGCAGTTAGTTCTGATATGAAATCATCTGAATGACCATATTATAGTTCCAGCAGCTGGCTAGACTTGGTTTCTGGCATTGGATAGCATATAAAAAGGCAGGCTGTATGCTGGGTGTCTGCACTCTCCTGATGGTAGGTTCAGAGGGAGTATTGCACTTGCAGAACCTGATCAATGCTCACCTCATTTCAGTAAGAAATGTTCAGTTGTAAGAAACAGACCCCAATGGAGCCGTACAGACAGGCACAGGCTGTGTCCCACAGGACAGGACAGGACAGGACAGGACAGGACAGGACAGGACAAGTTGACAAGGGATCAGAACCAGCAACCCAGACAACACTGAGGACAAGGCCACTTTGTATATGCCACAGATCTCACCTCTAACCTCTACAACTGTTTCCTCCTCTTTGTTTCCACAATCCAGCTTTTTCTAAAGGAGTCGGCTCCGTCCCACAAGGGCTTCTACTCCAAGCATGTGAACCCTGGTCCATGAACAGGTCCTCAACCCTGGTCTGATCAGCCAATGCCAAGAGATGACTCAAGTCCTCCCAGCCTGTCTACCGCCTCCTGGCTTGGAATAGATCTTAGAGTGTGAAGGCGCTGAGAAGTTGCTCTGCACCTTCCCCCCTGCATCTCAGGCCACGGTAAAACAAGATAATCACTCAGCAAAGGCAAAGGAAGGTTCCTGGCAGCTACCTGGTGACTTATGAACTTGTCACCATTTCTTGCAGTATTCCCAAGCTCTGAGAGCTGGAGTCCAGGCCCCGCAGGAGCACAACAAAGGTAGCAGACATCCATCCTGAGCATCTTTCACATCCTGCAGAGGAGGTGCTGAGCTCCAGGAAGTGGCTGGGATGACAACAAAACCGGTTTACACAGAAGAAATTCAAAATGGGTGCAGATAAAGAAAGACACTATGTCTTTCAAAGCCCATCTGAGCGAAGACAGTGAGTGAAGGCCAAAGTCCCCAAAGCAGGCAGGGGCGGGACCTGGCAGCGCTGCTGGCTCACTGCTCAGTACCCTCCACCTTGATGAGCAGCCGGGCTAGAGACACTCAGCACTTGCCCTAGACCAGGAAGTCATTAGCTGTGACATGAGTGACGAGGGCCAGGCTTTGGAGGAGACATAAAGGCTGCTAAGCAGCTGTGGATGGGCACCCATGCCAGTCTGCAGCACGTCCCTCCACCTCCCAAAGGAGGCCAGCCAGAGTGTGGTAATGAAACTGCACATAGTAGAAATGGGATCTAAATGAGTCTAAGCTGATTTATGTTAGCTTTTGTAAAGATTACGCGTATCTGGGAAGTGCTACCACTGTGCAATCACGACGACAGTCCTTAAGAACTCCGCCTAATGGTGCTTGCGCACAATATTTATATTCCTCGGCATGGGAACAAGGACCATAATGGATACCATTTTTGTTTTATTAGGGATGCATATTTAAATTAATCTGCTATTTGCCTAAACAATTAGCTGCTTCTGTTTGTGTGCACAAAGCCAAAACTGCAATTAGGCTTCCATCAAAAAAATAAGTCCCAACTAAAACTGTCCCGGTGGGGCTGTAAGAGCTCAGGGCAGAA